AGACTCTTTCTTCGCCTATTTTACCGGTCTACATAGTATTGGAATTAATTGTTCTTTAAACGTTTGATAGAGTGCACTTGTAAATCCATCTGGTCCTGGAGATTTTTCCCTAGGGAGTTCATCAATGGCTTGTTCAATTTCTTTTTTCTGAAATAGGGTTATTTAAGTGTTTTACTTCCTCTTCTGTTAATCTGGGCAATTTATATTTTTGTAAATATTCATCCATTTCACTAACAATTGTCAAATTTACTGGCATACAGTTGGGCTAAGTAGTTCCTAATTATTGTTTTAATTTCCTCTTCATTGGTGGGGGATTCATCCTTTTCATTTTTGATACTGGTGTTTTGGTTTTCTTCTTTCTTTTTTTTTTAAATTAAATTAACCAAAAGTTTATCTATTTTATTGTTTTTTTCCATAAAACCAGCTCTTGGTTTTATTTATTAGTTCAATGATTTTCTTAATTTCAGTTTTATTAATCTCTTCTTTGGTTTTCAGTATTTCTAATTTGGTATTTAATTGAGGATTTTTAATTTGTTCTTTTTCTAGTTTTTTTTTTAAAATGCCCAATTCATTGATCTCCTCTTTCTCTATTTTATTCACGTAATTTAGAGATATAAAGCTTCCTCTAAGAACTGCTTTTGCAGCATCCCATAACTTTTGGTATGTTGTCTCATTATTGTTATTCTCTTGAATGAAATTATTGGTTTTTCTATGTTTTGTTGTTTGATCCATTCATTCTTTAGAATTAGATTATTTAGTTTCCAATTAATTTTTAGTCTATCTTCCATGGCCCTTTATTACATATAATTTTTATTGCATCATGATCTGAAAAGGATGCATTTAATATTTCTGCCTTTCTGCATTGGATTATGAAGTTTTTATGCCCTAGTACATGGTCAGTTTTTGTGTGTGTGCCATGTAACACCAAGAAAAAAAGTATATTCTTTTCTATCCCCATTCAGTTTTTTCCAGAGGTCTGCCATATCTAACTTTTCTAAAATTCTGTTCACCTGCTTAACGTCTTTCTTTTTTATTTTGTGGTTAGATTTATCTAGTTCTGAGATGGGGAGGTTGAGGTCCCCCAGTAGTATAGTTTAGCTGTATATTTCTTCCTATAACTCCCTGAACTTCTCCTCTAAGAATTTGGATGCCATACCACTTGGTGCATATATGTTTAGTAATGATATTACTTCATCGTCTATGGTGCCTTTTAGCATGATGTAGTTTCCTTCCTTATCTCTTTTAATAAGGTGAGTTTTTGCTTTTGCTTTGTCTGAAATCAGGATTGCTACCCCTTCCTTTTACCTTTACCCTCTGTTTCAAATGTGATTCTTGTAAAAACCATATTGTAGGATTATGGATTTTAATCCATTCTGCTATCTGCTTCCATTTTATAGGAAAGTTCATCCCATTCACATTCACAGTTATGATTACTATCTTTTTCTTTTTCTCCATCCTTTCCCCTCCCCTTATGCTTTTCTTTCTCCTTTCTCCTTTTCCCTCCTCACTGGTGTTTTGCTTTTGACCACCGCCTCCCTCAGTGCCTCCTCCCTTTTATTAGCCTTTCCCCTTTTCTTTCCCTTTCCCCTTACTACTCCTTCCATCCCTTCTATCACCCCTGCCTTTTCTTTCCCCTTTTCCCTCCTACTACCTATAGGGCAAGTCAGATTTCTATACCTAACTGATTAATGTTATTCCCTCCTTGAGCCAAATCTGATGAGAGTAAGGTTCAAACAATGCTCATCTCCCTTACTTCTTTCCCTCTACTGTAATAGGTTTTTGTGCCTTTTTCTGTGATGTAATTTACTCTTGTCTGCCTTCTCCTTCTTTTCTCCCAGTACAGTCTCTTAATTAGATCAGATTAATCCACTTACTTGGATCCATTTAACCCACTTAATTAGATTTTTTTATCATTACATCAAAATCAACTTATCTCCACCCTCTCTGTCTATGTATACCCCTTTCAAATGGTGTAATAACAATACATTTCTCAAGAATTACAAGTGTCATCTTCCCTTGTTAGGATATAAACAGTTTGCCCTTATTAATAACGTTGTTTTATTCTGTCCCGTTTACCTGTTTATGTCTCTCTTGAGTCTTGTATTTGAAGATCAGATTTTCTGGTGAGCCTCTGGTCTTTTCATCAGGAAGGTTTGGAAGTCCCTTATTTCATTGAATGTCCATCTCCTCCCCTGAAAGATAATGCTCATTTTCACTGGGTAGTTGATCTTTGGTTGTAATCCAAGCTTCTTTGTCTTATGGAATATTGTATTCCACACCCTATCGTCTTTTAATGTAGAAGCGGCAAGGTCCTGCTTAATCCTGACTGTGGTTCCATGATATTTAAATTGTTTCTGTCTGGCTGCTTGCAGTATTTTCTCTTTGACCTGGTAATTTTGGAATTTGGCTACAATATTCCTTGGCATTTTCAATTGGAGATCTCTTTTAGGAGGTGGATTCTTTCTATGGCTATTTTACCCTCTGGTTCTAGGACCTCAGGGTGGGTTTTCCTTGATGATTTCCTGAAAGATACTGTCCAGGCTCTTTTTTTCATCATGATTTTCAGGTAGACCAATAATTTTTGAATTGTCTCTCCTGGATCTATTTTCCAGGTCAGTTGTTTTATCAGTGAGGTATTTTACATTTTCATCTGTTTTTTCATTCTTTTGTTTCTGTTTGACCGATTCTCACTCTCTCAGAGTCATTAGCTTCCATTTGCCCAATTCTAATTTTTAATGAATTGTTTTCTTCTATTAGATTTTGTACCTGCTTTTCCATTTGGCCCATTTACTTTTTTTGAGTTTTTGTGTCTCCTTTTCTGTTTGGCCAATTCTGCTTTTTAAGGAGTTGTTTTCTTCAGTGTACTTTTTTTTTTCCAGTTGGCCAACTGTATTTTTTAAGGACTTGTTTTCTACAGTTAATTTTCGTCCTTCTTTTTCTAAGCCATTGACTCTCTCTTACACACCTCTCATTTCTTTTCCCAATTTTTCTTCTACCTTTCTTATTTGACTTTTAAAATCCTTCTTGAGCTCTTCCAAGAAGGCTTTTTGGGTTTCAGACCAGTTCATATTCCCTTTTGAGGTTTCAGATGTGGGTTTGTTGACAATGTTGTACTCTTCAGAATATCTGCCTTGATCTTCCCTGTCCCCCTAATAAGAATCTATGGTCATTGTACATTTCTTTTTGCTCATGGTATTTGCTTATTTCATGATCTTTAAAAAAAAAATTGAGCTTTCCTGCTGGGGGGGAGCAGGGAACACTGACCCAAGCTTCTTGTGCTGGGAGCCTGGGGCCTGCTCACTGGCTTTGTGTGCTGGGACCTCAGGTGTTGGCAGTTGGAGGCTGTAGGGTTCTGGCAGCTTGCCTGGTGTTGGACTGGAATCAGTGACACTGGAGCTCTAGGGGTAGGGGTGGGGAGTCTGGCCCCTGGAGGTGCCTTTCACTCCTTTCTTTGGCTGTTGCTCACCTGGGCCTTGCTGCAGGATGTTTCTCCACCTGGAGCTTTCCCTCTTGGAATTGTGCTTCCCATAGTTTTGCTGAGGCACTGGGAGACTTGGCTGCTGGAGAACGCCGTGGCACCTGGTGGTTTTCCAAGCCAGTTTCCACTGGTTCCCCAGCCTGTACTGAGGCACTCGGGGGTCCTGGTGTTGGGGCTTGCCTGCTCTACTACCTGGAGTTCAGGATCTCCCCCTGGCATGCTGAGGTGGGGCTTTCCTCTAGCTTTCTGGGACACTTCCTGTTCTGACTGCTCCCCCTCCCCCCAGAGCAAGAGGGGCCTTTCCCATTAATCCCCCAAGCTTCTTGGGCTACAGGACTGCTGCACCTTGTCTTTCTGCTGCTTCAGCTGTTCCAGGATTTTTCCTGGGGTGATATTTTCTGGGCTTTCAGAGGTCAATAAGGGAGGGTGAGAGAGACTTACTCCTGCTTGTCATTTCTTGCAGCACAATAAGATTCCATCACAATCATATACCACAGCTTGTTTAGCCATTCCCCAATGGATGGGCATCCCCTCAATTTCCAATTCTTTGCCACCTCAAAAAGAGCTGCTATATGCATACATACATACATATATTACATATATATATGTATAATTCTCCCCCCCCTTTTGGTTTTTGGGATGCAGACCTAGCACCCACCCTCTTCTCTTCCTGCTGCTTCCAGCCTAGGGTTGGACCTCGTCCAGATCCGCCTGGATCATCGCAGCAGCTGCTCTGCCTATTCTGTTCCATCCTGCCTACTCACTGGCGTGGCGTTCTTTGTCCAGAAATCTTCAGTGGTTCTATGGTTTGCCAAGTTGAGATCTGAATGTTCTGCCTGCATTCAAGGCCATCTCTACCTGCCACTTTTGGCATATCTCATGTCTCTGCCCTTCTCATCCCCTGGGGTCAAATTAAGTGAGCTGTTCTGCCATTATTACCTGGTCATGCCTTGGCTCAGCATCTGCCCTGGGCCTGGATGCCTGCCTTCTCCTTCCTCAGATTCCAGCTTCTTCAAGGATCCCACTGAGATCCCTCCAAAGGGTTCCAGCCTTTCTCCTTAGACCTCTTGTAATGTGTGGGGCCCCACCTTCCTGCTAGATGTAAGTGCCATGAAGGCCGGGGCTGGACCTCATCTCAGCTCCATCTCACAGGGCCCAGCCCTAAGCTTTGTGCACAGTAGGCACTCTCAGGGTGGGGCTCTGGGCCAAGGATCAGGAGGATGGAGGACAGGGTGGGGTCTTGTTCTGGGAAAGGTGGAGGATTTGACATGGCCTGGAGAGAACCTCAGTGCTCAGAGATGGGCTGGAAGGACCTTCTCCCTGGGCAGAAACAGTACGGCAAAGGCCTGACAGTGGGAAGGGCGCTATGGAACAGGCCAGTTGGCTGTTGGGTAGAGCGTGTGCACCTTTAACTACACCGTGAAGGCGCGATCCCCAGAAATGACCCCACGTGCATTTGTGTGCCTGAGGACTTTGCGTGCTTCACCATTCCCAGTAACAAAACTTTGCTCTCTTTTCCCAGGTTCCTGATCATTTCAGACTATCTGCTGAAAAGCCCAGAGCTGGTGAAATCCATGTATGCCAAGCTGAGCAATCCAGAAAGGTGAGCCCCCAAACCCGTGTGGTTTTGAGGAGTTAGCATTCCACAGAGAGCGTCCCGCGTACACGATTGAAAAGCGGTGCAGCTCGGGGCTGGCTCGGGGTCTCTAAGTACATGTTTCTCGTCAGTAATGGTTTTAAATTAGCTGGTTAACATTACAGCCTCGCCACAGCTGGCAGAGGTTGGGGGAGGGCTGAGTCCAGGTTGGCGCCATCACTCAGGAGGGGTGAGCCCTTGAGCTCCTGCTCTGGCGGCGCCTGGTTGCCCAGCTCCTCCCCTCACCAGGGACACCCTGGTGCTCATTCTGTACTTTGTAGTTCCCTGCAGATAGCTCATGATGCAAATGGAGTACCTGTTTGCATGATAGCGGGAAGAACCCTGGAAGAGGGGCTCAGGAGACCTGGGGGTGGTGCTGATTCTTCTCAGAGCCCCTCTGTGTAATGGGTCATGGGCCAATCACATCCCTCCTCTGGCTTTCGATTTCCAGCTGGGTAAAATGATGACATGGGCCCTGGCTGCACGCCCTCCTTCCACAGAGGTGTAGCAGGGAGGGGCTTTGCCTTGGAGAAGCCACGGGCAGCATGGGCATGAGAAGTGTGGCTCCCAGACTCTGAGCTCAGCCCTGTCTTCACTGCATGACCACTTGGTAGAACACTTGTTAGGGGTCTGGTTGGACAAGATGGTCCCAGAAATCCCCTCTGACACAGTGACTCACGAGGGTCATCAGGCCACAGAGCTGGAGGGGGGCGTCTTCCAGTCTGACTCTTACTTTACAAGTGAGGAAACTGAGGTCTGGAGAGAGTTAGTCACTCACCAGAGTTTACATCCGTAATAATTAGCAGAACCTGATTCAACCCCAGAATTCTGTGATTTTAATCCCCCTATTTTTTTAGAGGATTTATTCTGGAGAGACAGAAGAAGAATGAGGTTGATTGTGATCAAAGATTTTAATTCTGTGGATGCTTCTAAAAATGGAGAAATTTTCTTCTTAGTGTGCTAGTAAATTCAGTACATTTCAGCCCCTACTGTGTGCGAGGTGCTGTGGGAGGTGCTGGCCACACGAGGACGACACAGCGTAGTCCCTGCCCTCACAGAGCTGACTTTCTGCTGGAAGGAACAACATGTACACACAGAAGGGCAAGTGAAAGACAGTGAGAGTATGCGGGTGGGAAGAGAGAGAAACCCCTGGGCCTCCAGGCCCAGACGACCTTCGTGCCCAGGACTGCTCCCACCACTGGTCGGGTGATTGGATTTGCCCACTGTGGCTTCATTGGTTCAGACGGGAAATTGTAGAATGGGTTATCCTTTTCACCCTCGGGCCTTCTCCGGGGTCTTCAGCCCTGATGCCCAGAGCTCCCTGACCCTTTATGGTCTTCCTTCTCTCCCTTGTGTTTTTCAGGGTTACGTTGCTCGATCTCATGGTAGCCAAGCTCGTGGGGGATGAGCCGCTGACCAGAGAGGACCTGGCTGCCTTTCTAAGGCACGCTGAATGGGTTGCAAGCGGCTTCCAAGACAAATGCAAGTCTGTGCTGAAGCTTGCCTCAATTGGGCATGATGATGATGAGGTCAGGGTGCAGACAGCCCCTGGGAGGGCAGGAGGGAGGTAGTTGCCCAGGCCAGCTCAGGGTGCCTCCCACTTGTGTTCATTTCTGGGCTGCTGTCCCCCGGTGCCGCCCTGTGCCACCCTTTCCCATTCTCCTGACCGTGGTCCCCTCTGCCATGGGGCCCACTGCTGATCTTAAAGCACCACATCTCCAGCTTGGAACAACTTGAGATGCTTCTACCGCAAGGGCAGGTGCCCAAGCCACTACAACGGGCTCTCCAGCTTCTGCGTGACAGGAAACTCATTGCCTGAGGAAGCAGTCCATTCCCTTGGAGGACATCCCAATCGTTAGAAAGTCCTTTTTGGTGGTGACTTGAGATCTTCCCTCAAATCACGTCAGGGGCTTTATCCCCTCCCCAATTGGAAATGATTATATTGAGGAAATTAAGATGTTTCTCCTTCCTCTGAATGTCCACATTTTCCTGTGGCTTCTCCTTTTCCTTCCTTAATGCCTGTTTCAGAAGCAGCTTCCTTCCTGTTTCTTTCCCCCCTCCAGTTTTAAAGATGATCACTCTCTTCAGGGCAGGGGCTGAGAAGCAGCGGGGGCAGAAGGAAGGGCCCCGACCTTAGGTTATAGTGCCTGGGCTCTCCTCCCTGCCTTCTGCTCTTCCTTGTACCAGGGTCTGTAATATTCACAGAGATGCTCCCTCCCTTGGGGCCCCTCTGCCTCCTTCGCACAGAGGGATGTTTCATGCTAGGTCTTCTCATTGCCCACAAATGCACCACTTCCCTCATTCACTGAGTCATTTCTGCTCTCTGGGTCGCAGACTCAGCCTGGTCTGAGGTGGTCTCCAAAGTGTCCAAAGCTGTCATGCCGGCCTTCTGACCCCTGTCCCTCCCTCATCCTCTCAGCCATCCCAGTCTTCCTTCAGCAGCAGGTTTCCTCACATCTGCCTTGCCGCATCCTCAGGGAGGTCTTGGCCAATTCCCTTGGAGGTGGGTGCTCTCTCTCTCTCCCCCCAGATTCCACGGCACTTATTTATATTTGTCTAGAAGCCACGTGTCCTTCACCCACTCCCTCTCCCTGAGTAAAATTGTTCCTCATTTTGTCACTCCCTCCCTTGTGTCTGGCATCGTGCTTGTGAGATAAATGAATGATCTTGATGGTCCCCACTGTAGCACCAGCAGACATGCCTCCCCTGTCCCCAACACACTCACTGGTGTGGGGAGTCTGAGCGCCTCAGGCTCCCTCCCGGCTTTCCACACTGTCCCTGGAACTCCACTACCCAGACAGACAGCTTTCCTCCATTGAAGGCCACTCACGACGCGAGTCATGCTGACTTCAGCCAGCCAGCTCACAAGCTGAGCACCTGGCCCTCTGCCTTCAAACCAGGGGCTCTTGGCAGGGGAAGGCGAGGATCCTGGGGAAATGATGGGGATGTTAAAATTGAAAAAAGGCACCAAGAAAAATGTAGCTTTTTAAAGAAGCAGAAAAAATAGAATCAAGGAAAACCTCTTGTTATGAAATTAGTTTCTTTTGAAGGGGGCTGCCATCTACTTTCTTAGTTTGACTAATGGGGCTCATGAGTACCATGAGAACCTTGGTGGAGGGCCAGAGGGGCAGAGTCCCCGTCTCTGCTCTGCTATTCATGGCTGACGTGACCTGGGGCCGAGTCTCCCAATCTTCTCAGTCAAACAGGGTGGCACCTGGGAGGGCCCTTTCCAATTTCAGTCTGTGTAGGCTGTGAACGTAGCTGTAATCCTTCGGTGATCACTGTGAGCTCACATTTCCCTCTGTGTGGGAAGATGTCCAGTTTGCTTTGTCTATTAGCTGCCTGCTTTGTATCCATCCATCTATCTGTCCATCAGTCCATCCATCATCTGTCTGTTCATTCATCTGTCTACCCATCTATACATCCATCCATCCATTCATCCGTCCATCCATCAGTCTATCCATTCATCCATCCATCTATCCATCCATTCATTATCTATTCATTTGTCCATCTGTCCATCCATCCACCGTCTACCCAGCCATCTGTTTACCCATCCATCCACCCATCATCTATCCATTCATCTGTCTGTCCATCCATCTATCCCATCCACCCATCATCTATCCATTCATCTGTCCATCCATCTATCCATCCATCTGTCTATCCATTCATCTGTCCATCCATCCACCATCTGTCCAGCCATCTGTTTACCCATCCATCCATTCATCTGTCCGTCCATCATCTATCCATTCATCATACCAATGAAGGAGCGTTTACTAGGTGCCAGTTTTAATTCCTACAAGAGTAGGCCCTCTAGCAGAGGGATAAGCTGTCCCCAGATGACAAGATCACACGAGGAAGGCATTTGCAGAGGTGAGGCCTGAGACAGAGGTTGTTCCTGCCCTGAAGAGGTTGCAGGGACAGTGAGGAGCTTCCGGGCTGTGGGTGGCCTAGAACGACAAAGGAGTTTGAATGACTGCAGAGGAGGGAGGTCTGTGTAAGAAAGGTGGTTCCGACAGGAGGCCAGGGCCTGTGTCTGGAGAGCGCCCGCAGATGCCCATGGTGTCCAGCAGGAGGAGTGCTGCCCTGGTCTTAGCCTTGCCTTGGGATGATTCCCCCAAATGATTAGAGGGAAGGAAAGCAGGAAGAAGGGAGGCAAGGGAAGAAGCAGGCACACTTAAGGCCTTGCTTAGTTCCTGTCCCTACTTGGAATCATTCAGGACAGCTCAGAAGCTGGAGGCCACAGTACTCCTTGGGTCATGTTTGGAGGCATGAGAATCTGTGTGTGCTGCCACACACGGGGCAGGGAGGGAGCATAAGAGAGGAGCCTCCGTCCATCCTCAGAAGGTCTCCTCTTCCTGGGCCCCAGTCCACACTCAGCTGTGTCACGTGATGGCTGTGTGACCTTGGGCGCGTCTCTTCCTTTCTCTGGCCGAGGCGGTCTCGGTCTCTTGGGTCTCCAGCAGCCCCAACGTGACTGAAGTGGGTACAGCACTCCCGGGAAACCTGGCTGGAGTTCTGAACATCCTGGCCTAGCAGGTTTCCTTATTCCTTTGACTAGTTTCTGGCTTCATTCTTTTCCCACTTCCACTTTCTGTGTCTGAGGGGCGAGTACCCTGCTGTCCGCTGGAGTCCTCACCTGATATCTCATGCCCTCGGGCTCTCTCTCATACTGAACGTTCCCAAAGTGAAGCCTGAACACTCAGGTGTTTCTGGAGGGGACCAGAGCCTCTGGCTCTTGGCCTTTATCCAAGCAAGCAGCTCTACAGCTCTGGCCTCTGCTGCTTGCTGGTGCCCTGGCGGGTGGGGGGGTCCTTCTGTCCAAAAGAGAGAAGAAAAGCCAAAGAGGAGACGAGGGTCTTCCCTCCTGAGCCCAGCATTGGCAGCTTGGCAGAGCCTCTCCTCATGCCCGTGGAGTGGAGCTCGGCTGGAAGGTGCCAGTTATGGAGAGTCAGACCTGGGTTTCATTGGGGTTTGTCTAGGCTGCCTTGTTCCACCAAACACAATTCATCCCAATTCATACCCAGCCAGTGAGACACGGAAGCACAAAACACCCAAAACAGTCTTAAAAATTGTTTAATTGTCTCCTGCGTTGGAGACCCATAAGATGTATAGTTGGCACACACACACACACACACACACACACACACACACACACACACACACACACACACACACACACAACCCCTCTTTGGTATGGATTTCAAGATGGTAACCATATATTGACTTGTTCTGGTATTTAGCCACTCAGCCAAGGTGTGGGATGAGAAGGCATCTAGAGGGGCTGTTGGAGATGGCTGACAAGCTTGGGTGGTGCTGTATCACCAGCCTGGGGCCAGTGTCAGGGCCGGGCTTCTTGGCTGGGGCTGCCTCACGCTCCCAGGACCCCAGCCGGGGCGCGAGGCTTCTTTGCTCGGGAGCCTGTCTCAGAGCGATGTATTGTTGAGTAGCTAGATAAATTTACGTTGTCAAGTAAGATTGTCTTTTCAGACTAACCAAAATATTGCCTGTGTAATCCCAAGTATGTATTTACCCAAGAGTAATGCCCTTCTCACAGCCAGAGTGCTTCGACCTCAGCAGTGGACGGGACTTTTGTAGCTTTCCGATGGGCCTTACACATTGGGAAAGCTTGCAAAAGATGGCCATAATCGCCGGCCTTTATTCTGCCTGTGTTTGAATAATAGCTTTCTGTGCAGCAGAGGACACTTAATCCCGCACTCGTGGGGTGGAGAGGCATCTGCTGCTGCGAGTGGGATTGTCTCTGGGTCTGTTGAACATGGATGGCTTCTCAGAGCGCTCTTCTCTTGCTCAAAGTAGAGCAAACACCAGCTTCCCAGGCGGCACAGTGAGCCATCAGGTGGAGAGCATGGGAAACAATCATGGTGTTTAGATTGAAAGGCCCGTGTACTTTTCTTTGCAGGAAGCCCTGGCCACAATTAGGCTTCTCCATGTCCTTTGTGAAATGACCGCCAACTGTGAACTACTGGGCTCCTTACAAGCCTTCCCTGGGCTCCTCGAGACAGTAGTTGGTGAGTGGACATCGGTCTGTGTAAGTCCCTGGTTACCTGATCACTGCCCATGGCAAATGGGAAACTAGGCTCCTGCCTGTCATGGGCTTTTTGAGCTCTCCAAAATGGATCAGTGGCTTATCAATTCCTGGTCCTCAAATTCTGAGTAGAAAAATTGTCAGAAAAATCTCCTGCCTACTGTGTGTGTCAAGATAGAACCATGTAGGCCTACTGTGTGTGTGAGGACAGCCAGAGCCATGTGGGCCTACTGCGTGTGAGGACAGCCAGAGCATCTCTCTGTGTTTAGTGCCATTTATATTATGTCTCATTGGAGGTCCTTCCTCATGTTTTCCCGTAAATGTATGAAGTTTATCCAGGGATCCTCCTACATTGCCTTGGAACCTGGCTGGATTTTCAGTCAGGGCCAAGCTCCTTTCCATTGTGCGGTGCATTTCTTGTTTGAGACATGTCCCAGGGCTGAGTCCGTGGCTCCGCCCAGGTTAGGCTGGCTCACGCAGGAGCTCCCCTCAGTCCCTGGGGTGAGGACCCTGGCCCCTGCCACAACGGCGCCCCTTGAGCTCCACACCTTCCCTCCTTCCTTGGGCCTTGGGCCGCCCATCTGCTGGGGTCTCTGGTCCCTCTGCGGCCTTGTCTCTGACTGGCATCTCGTTCCCTTGTTGACAGAGATCTTGCAGCTGGCTCACCTGGCCGGGAAGCAGAGCCCAAATGTCTTCACGGCTGCGTCTTGTATGCGAGGCGATGGGGATGTCTCCAACCCTGCTGTGGGCTTCAAGTCCCAGCTCGTGCGCTTGATTGGGAACCTTTGCTACAAGAATGGGAAAAACCAAGACAAGGTAGGCTTGCCTGGGGCCGCAGAGGGTGCATCCCAGGGCCAGGTGCGTCCTGCGGGGGCACGTTCACCTTAGAGCCTCGGCATCTGTGCCGGCTTCAGCTGTGGAGCCAGAGGACCGAGGGCCAACGTCGGACAGTCCCTTCCCCTCTCTGGGCCTGACAGGGGACAGAGGAGATGCCCTGAGCTCCCTCCGGGCTTGCGTCCGGGGCTTTCCCAGGGTGCTGCTGCCAGGGAGTGAGTCACTGTCATAACAGCATTGGCGCGGGGGCCTCCCGGTGGGACAGCTCCCTCGGCCGGTGCCCAGCGGCACCCACTCCGTGGCCGAATCCTCCAGGGGAGTTCCCCAGGCACCGAGCGGGTTCTCCCAGCCAGGGTGTGTCGGAGAGGACGCACCCAGGTGCCTTTTGGACTTTTCTTCTGATAGTACTGCTCATGCCCACAATCACAGCGTTCTGCCCCACTGGGGCTCTGGGGAAACCTCCCCAACCGGACCCTCCTCCTGAGCCCAGGAGCAGCCAGGGCCCGGAGGCCCGTGGGAGGGCTGGCCGGCCCACCCATGACTGGCGTACGATTCCGGTCATCGGGTTCGCTCCCAGCTGAGCCCCAGTGTCTTCCCTTGTTGGGAGGGGTGAGGGGCTTGGCCCAGCCAGTCTCTGAGGCCCCTGGCCCCCAGCAAAGGTCATAGACACAGCTCAGCAGCCAGGGCTAGAGGCGCCGCGATCCGTATCAGTGGAGGGCAGGCTGACACCGAGGAGGTCATGGAGCCCCTAGCCCTGGGGCTGAGGGAAGCTTTGCCGAACTGGCAGTCATTGTTTGCTCAATTGCAACATGTCTCGATTCATCCGTTTACTCTTGGCACTTACTGGCTGCCTGGCCTTGGGCAAGGCTCCTGCCCTCTCTGGGCCTCTGCAGAGTAGGCTCCCCTTGGGCTCCCCAAGGCCAGGGCAGGGGATGCTGTGCTCTGCCGGCTCTGGACCGAGGCCGTGCCACACCGGCAGGACCGGCAGTCAGTGTCTTCTGGGATTTCCCTTTCCACCGGGGTGTGGTGGGTGCAGTAGGGACTGAACACGGGACTGAATCAGGCATTGGTGGGTGATGGCCTCCCAGATCATCCCACCCATAGCCCGTCTGTCTGTCTTATTATGAGCCTGTGGTGAGTGTCCCAAGGCCTTGGGAACCCAGCCATGACAATAGAGGCCTTAACAGCCTTCTGGGCCTGGAGCATCGCTAGAGAAAAATGGTGGAGGGTGAGGAGAGTGGGGGGGCCAGGGAAGAGGAGGAAGAGGACAAGTCAGATGGACGGGTCCAGGAGGTCGTGTGTGTGTGTGTGTGTGTGTGTGTGTGTGTGTGTGTGTGGAGTGCTTGTGTGTATGTGCAAATGAGCATATGTGTGTATGAGTGTGAGTGTGCATGTATGTGTGCACGAGAGTGAGCGTGTGTGTGTGCAAATGAGCATATGTGATATGAGTGTGTGTGTGTGTATGTGTGCACACTTGCTCCTGAGAGCACGTGAGTGTGCTTGTGTGTATAGGTGGGTGTGAGTGCATGGAAGCATGTGCATGAGCGCATGTGAGTGTGTGTGTATGTGAGTGTATGTGTGAGAGGTGTGAGGGTGTGTGTATGTGTGAGTGTACACGTGAGAGGTGTGAGGGGAAGAGCATGCATGTGGACATGAGCGTGCAGGGGCGGGGCCTGGGAGCAATGCTGGCGATTTCAGGCTGACTGTCTGGAGGCTACAGCCTGTCCTTCCTCTCTGCCCTGTCCTGCCCATCTGGGGCCAACCGCCACTCCCCAAAGAGTGGGCTCTGTCTTTGCTCATGTGCCTCTGGGCCTCCCGCCTTGGTTGGCAGGGGTTGGCAGCCGTCCTCATGAAGGGTCTTTGTCAAGGGAAGGCTAGCTGCCCTCCAGCAGGGAGAGGTTTAGAGTCAGGGGTTGGGTGCGACACTGGGAGACTCTGGAGATGGTGAGCTCTCCGTCTCTGGAGCCTTTCGGAGCAGCTGGGGGAGCAGGCGTCAGCTCAGACAAGGCTCCCTCTGGTCAGGTGCCTCCTCGGGGGCTGTCCGGCTAGTCCTCAGCCAGCTCCCCCTGGTGCTGGCAGGAGGGGGTCGGGATGGCTTCCCTCTGAGCTGTGGCCTCAGGGCAGCTGTGCTGGTGCACTCTGGCTCTGTCGGACCACAGGCTCTTCCTCTGTCAGGCTCTGTCACAGCCTCAGCTTATTGATTGGGAGGCTGGATGTACAGGCATGATCTGGCTTGCTGCAAATTCCATTTCTTTGTCATGTAATCCTAGTTCAAGAAGTCTGTCAAAATTCATAAATCAAGCTGTCACCATGTGTCTCCTTACCTCACAGTTCCTGTTACAGTAAATGAAATTAAAATTCCTGTCCAGAGGACTCATCCCATGGCTGGCTGCGTTGCCCCTCGGGGTGAGTCTGCTCTCTGCCCTGCTGGGTCAGGGTGGCCCCGGCCGGCTCTGCTGCCCCCCCCACACACACAATGGGCTCGGGCTGTCCCTGGGGCTGCCGTGCTGTGCTCCCCCACGGGGAGGGCCCAGGCACTGCCCATATTCTTTGGGGGTCGTGGAGCAGGGTCATCCGGGACAAGCTGTGGCATCTGCACCGGTAGTGAGGGCGTGGCAGTTTCCGGGTTCTCTTGCATATTCTTCCTGTCCAGTTTGGAGCTGAGGCAGTCTGATGGACGCTCACATTGGTCAGAGCCATGATCATCTATCTCCATTTTCCAGATGGGGACACTGAGATACTAGACAGAGGATTTGCCCAAAATCGCTTAGAAATGCCCCCCACCCTCCGCTGGGCCTTGGGCTGCTCCCACTCCTTCCTGTGGTGCCTCCTTTATAGTCAGCAGAGGCTTTTCATCCAAGAGGCCGGTTGGGCTTGTAGTAGAATCCTTGTTATCTCCAGACTCTAGATGGGTCAGTAAGCAGCAGAGCTCAGCCTTGAACCCGGGTCTTTGCAGGCAGCATGCCGCATTGGGGAGAGAAGCGGCTTCTGCCTAGCCAGCAGTGGCAGGTGGCTGGTGAGTCACTTCATGGACTGGGGAGGATGCTTCGCCTGCAGGGGGTCCCATCACCAGTCAGTAGCAGAGCTGGGCCTCTCTCTGGGACTTTGCTGGGTTTCAGAGGGCCCCTGACTAAGGCAGAGCCCATAGGAAGGCAGGGGAAAGATGCCGGCTTTGGGACCCTGGGCACCTCGTCCCCGATGCAAGGCCTGCTCACTCTTCGTGGGCCAGGGCAGAGGGCCCAGTGCTGGCCCACCCTCTGCTCAGGAGGAGGAGGTGCTGGAACAGGGGCCTGGGCCTGTCTGGGGACAGATCTCCTTGGGCATGAGCCGTGGAGCCATGGCAGGTGCCATTCGGGGAACACTGGCTGGGCCCAAGACTGTCTCCTGACTCTCACGACGCTGAAAGCCTCTGACGGGTCGTTGGGCTCCTCCGCATCTCCCCAGGCTCTCCCACTTTGGTTGGCCGGGAATAGGGCCCCCATCTTCTTCAGGAATCCTGCAGTGGATGGAGGATGGAGCTGTCCATCACCCACCCAAACCGCTTTGATATTGGCACGTACTCGGCATTTTGCTAGCAGCAACCACAGTGAGGCCGATCAAAGGGGCCCCAGACAGTTTTTTTTCATTAGCAATTAAAGTCACTGCTTTAAGAAACCTAGCTTGCTTTGTCTTGCTCTGTTGCAACTTAATTTTGTGTCCATCAAATAAAGGGTTAGAGGAGGCTCCTCCAGAGTGTGGTCTGAGCAAGCGAGCAGGTAAGGAAGTGAGGGCTTCTCCTGCTCCTGCTGCAGATCTGCAAGAGAGCATGTGTGCAAGAGAGTGAGGGCTTCTCCTGCTCCTGCTGCAGATCTGCAAGAGAGCATGTGTGCAAGAGAGTGAGGGCTTCTCCTGCTCCTGCTGCAGATCTGCAAGAGAGCATGTGTGCAAGAGAGTGAGGGCTTCTCAGGCTCCTGCTGAGGATCTGCAAGATAGCGTGTGAGCAAGAGAGTGAGGGCTTCTCCTGCTCTTGCTGCGGATCTGCAAGAGAGCGTGTGTGCAAGAGAGTGAGGGCTTCTCAGGCTCCTGTTGCGGATCTGCAAGAGAGTGAGGGCTTCTGCTGAGCGTCTGCAAGAAAGCGTGTGTGCAAGAGAGCAAGGGCTTCTCAGGTTCCTGCTGTGGATCTGCAAGAGAGCATGTGAGCAAGAGAGCACATATGCAAGAGAGCGCATGTGCAAAACAGTGAGGGCTTCTCAGGCTCCTGCTGCAGATCTGCAAGAGAGCATGTGTGCAAGAGAGTGAGGGCTTCTCCTGCTCCTGCTGAGGATCTACAAGAGAGCGTGTGTGCAGGAGAGCGCACAAGCAAGAGAGCGTATATGAAGACAGCGAGGGCTTTTCGACATTACAGATGAGCTGCCAATCTGTTCTACTGGAGGGCGTTCCTCACACTGAGAAGTCATTGGTCTGGGCTCCTCTCCCTCTCCCTCACCCTGATAGAGCCAATGATAATGATAATAATGACAAGCATGAGGCTGGCTGCAGATGCCAGGGTCGTCAGAGCTCGTAAGTGACACCTAACTTATTTGCAGAGCAGCTTTCCTAATTATTTGGACAGCTCTTTCCTCTTTATTAACCTTGGAGCATCTGTAATGACGGATACCACACTGGCTGATCAGATGGCCGAAGCAGAGGGCTCCCGGTGGCTGAGGGAAGGGTCCCGGCTCAAAGGCTCTCTCCCCAACTTGGCGTGACTCCTGGGTGTTTCCGCCCTGGACACTTCCTCTTGTTCCCTTCAATGCTTATTAAAAAGTGTTCCTGTGACTCTCTGTCTTTCTCTGTCTTTCTCTGTCTTTCTCTGTGTGTCTCTGTCTCTGTCTTCCTTTTTCCTTCCCCACCCTCTCTCTCTCTCTCTCTCTCTCTCTCTCTCTCTCTCTCTCTCTCTCTCTCTCTCTCTTTCTCTCTCTCTCTCTCTCTCCCCCTCCCTCCCTCCCTCCTTCTGTCCTTCC